GCAAAAAATTTTCCTTTGTGTCTGAATGCTAGACTTTCGTGTTATTATTACCTTTATATCCCAACTCTAAGCATTGTCTGTTCTTAGCTGTGTAATGTGGAAAGAACCTAACCTTCCTGTGCCTCAGTTTCTTTTTCTATAAACAAAAAATCACAATATCTCCCAAGGCTATTGTGAGGATTTAATGAGTTAAAATATATAAAGTGCTGGAGCACCTGGATGGCTCAGTCAGTTAAGCGTCCGACCTTGGCTCAGGTCACCATCTCACGGTTCGGTTTGTGAGTTCGAGCCTCACATCAGGCTCTGCGCTGATGGCTTGGAGCCTGGATTCTGCTCTGGATTCTGTGTCTCCCTCTCTCTTTGCTCCTCTCTGCTGTGCTCTGTCTCTTTCTGTCTCTCTCTCTAAAAAAGTAAGCATTTAAACAAAATATGTAAAGTGCTTAGGTGCGTTCCTGACATATTTTAGTATGTTGTGGCTTCATCTATTATCCCCCAAACCCCCACAAACACACACACACACACACACACACACACACACACACACACAAAAGCTAATTCAAGTTTCATCTCATTTGAAACTAAAAGACATGTCAGCAGTGCCTGTGGTGGTTCTGTGTGTGCAATGTGTGTTCATGACAAGATCAAGCAGGATTTCCTTACTGAAGAGCAGAGGATCGTGAATGTGTTGAAGGCACAAGCGCAGAGTCAGAAAGCTAAATTTAAAAAAAATGAAGCTTATGGGGGTAATAAAAAAACAAAAGGCCAAAAAAAAGTTCATCTCATTTGAATTCCGATAGGATTTTGGGGTGGGGGTAGAGAAAGAGAGTTTTCAGGCTGATAGTGTGGAAACCACACAAAACCCCACACCATGTCCCCTGCACCTTCCAGACCTAAGACACCCACAGAGCATGATGCAGTCGTGACTGTGTCACAGTCCTGTGCAGGTGGTGGGAACAGTGCTGAGGCCCTCTCTGGGAGTAGCCTCTTAACTTCAGGTTTCTTGTTTCTCTCTAGGCATTGAGATGAAATTTAAGAATAAGCTGTTTCCTATGATCGTCTGCCCAGCCTGGATTCCTGAGCTGAATTCAGTGGAGCATGGACCAGAGGGTAATGGGGGGTTTGCCCTGAGCCTGAGGAAGGGCTGGGATGCTGGGCGGGTCCCTTTGGAGGGGCAGCGGGTGCCAGGAAAGCGTCTCCCTTGGCACCGGCTGCACCTGCTTCTCCTGGAGCCGCCTTGCGTGGGGAGCAGGGGCAGCCTTCATTGCCTTTCTCCCCTGCGCATCCATGGCAGAGTGCCAGTGAGATTATCCATAGTCATTCTCAACCTTGACTCCATATTAGAATCACTCATAGAGGGAGGGAGTCAGAGCTGGGAGGTCTTGGGTACTTAAACAAAAAACAAACATACAAACAAAAAAACAGGACTTCTCTCTCAGAGATCTGATTTTATTGAGTTGAGAACCACTGGTTTAGAGAAGACAGCATTCTGGTTGTAGGATCAAGAGGGCTGTGGTTGAGAACTGGCTCTTGGATTAGCTCTGTGGCATTGGGCAAGTCACTTAACCTCTCTGGGTTTTCACTTCCTCATCCACATAAGGATGCGAGACCTGGTTCAGGCTCTCTCAGGCACCAGTAAAGCACTGTAGGTGCCGTGTGTGAAAGTGTTTTCGGAGCCGTGAAAGGAATCGCCATTAGTCTGCGCATGTGTTCCCAGGTATCTCCTTTGGAGCCTCTTGTCCCTTGAGCCTTGTGGAAAAGACACTGGTCGATGCAGTTGACAAACTTTGTGCCTACAAAACAGAGGTGTTCAAAGGTGTCTTGGAGCAGCTGCGCTGGTTTGCTGGGAAGCAGGTCAAGTCTGTGGCGGTGAGTCCCTGTTCAGGAGCCCTCAAGGCTCAGGGCACGGGGCCTTCTGTTACAGGTAGATGTGCCAGTCTGTGGTCTGCTGAGGACCCAGTGCATCTCAAACTCTAGTGCTCGAACTGTCTGAGGTGCTGGTTAAAATTACAGAATCCTGGCCCCCATGCTCAGAGATTCTGACTCCGTAGGGCTGGGATGGAGCCCCAAAGGTGCTTCTGGAGAAGGTGGCCTGCGGGTTGCTCTTGGAAACACACACTATGCACCTCAGTCTTTATACCTGATGTTGGCATATTGGAGCCTTCTGCCCACCTTGTTCCTGAGCTTGGCCAGAGCAATCAGCAAATGGATGAGAGTTTGAGCCAAATCGAGTGTTGGACTGCCTCTCAGAGTCAGGGGGAGAACCAGAGGTGGACACCCCAGAGAGGCAGGAGGGGTAGAGCTGTTGACT